TATATATAAAGAATTTTTCTAAGATGACCGTAGAAAAAAAGAACTGAATCCGCCATAGATACCACCTCCAAGTCAAAAAAACCGGCAAAGGCACTCAAAAGCACATTGAGCACAGTGCGGCGAAACCTAGTACCAGCTTTCTAATCTGTCTGCATATGAATTTTGGTTGATATATACCCGTGGACGACACGGTCTTCGAGTATGTGCGTGTACGTATTTACAGGTGAACGCACCGCGTCGCGCTAGTACGTAGTGAACGGAGGAACATATTATAGCTATCAGCTTAGCATCAAATGTGACATTGCACCATCATGCGTTCCATGTAAATGTTTGTAGGCAGCCGTTCACATGTACGATCAGAATCAGAAGGCGCGCTTAAACCTATCGAGTAGCGTTAGGGCTATGCAAGGGTTCTGCTAGGCAGATGATCCACTGCAAAAAGCCTGCCAGCTCTATAATATATTCTCAGGTTTGGTACTTCTTTTAACTAAGGAGAGCTGTACCATCATCACTGGTTCGCTCTGCGAGTCCTCGTCGCAGGCAGCGTGATACTATACAATGCCTCTCCAACCAGGCAAAATGAAACAGACTATCGACCTTAACTTGGATATGTTCCTCTTTTCAACCTTCCGATCTTTGTTTTTTAAAAATAATTTTCACTGATTTTTAGTAGGACGAAATTGCCGCACCATCTTACGGTATCATCTTGAATTTTGAAATTGCTGCATTCTATAGTGGTTGGCTTTGTTGTGGCATTAAAACAACCAATTTTAAACGTCTACTTTAAACCATATGTTGGCGATAATCGAATCGTCGTTAAAGCCCCAAGATTGACGGCCATAGCTGCTGTGATATCCTGTCGATAGTCTAAATCTTTTTTGTCTTGGGATTCGCAAGCATTTAGTGGCGGTCGTGGAGCTGGTGCGTGATTTTCAATAGATAGTTTATATTGATCTCTGCCTATTTTTGTAATCGATAGACAGTTCACCTGCTGCTGCCGCCCCATGAGGTACGATTTACTTCACAGCTGCTTCACGAGATAAACTGCTGCCTCCACGCCGATGCTGCCGATGCGTATAGACAAAAGGCTGAATTTACGTTGATCAAAACACGCATAAGAGAGTTACGTTGGCATCGTTAACCACCTTGTTAGAATTATTTAATCGAACTTGTTGCGGCTTTAAATCTTTGGCTATGTTCCATATCGCGATTATTTCACGGCGCCTGTTTCTATCTTCCATTCTTGCTTACATAATCTCTCAAAGGAACTTTCTAAAAGAACTCATACGAACTCTTGAAGAAAATACTTATTAATTCTACTCGAAAAAAAAAGACCCCCTGAAATCGAAAAATAACATGAAGTTAGTCATTCCAATGCGTCTGCCCACAAGATCCATTGATTTTCAAAGGTAATCAATGTACTAACGAATTATTTCATATAGCAGGTGATCCAGAACAGCTTGTTAGTGTTCCCTTGCACTAATCTAAATGTGCATAATTTCTTGCAGAGCTAACCGTGGACACCTAAATGCAGGTTATATATTATCACACTCTTTCGGGGAACGCCTTGCCTCCTTGGAGGCGTAAGTCATACTGTTCCGAAGTAGGCATTTAATAACATAAATTTAGCACGATTACTTTTGTCACCAAAACGTTGGATGAGACATGTCTTGCTTGGATATATTTCGTCTGCGATTTAACTGATCGCGTAATTTGCTGTGTATCGGTTGGGGACTTTAGCAGGTGTTTAGCTTTTCAAAATATATCTGAACTCACAATAGCTAGTACAGAATCTATGTCTCATATGTTTTACTTTTACTTTTTGCTATGAAAGTAACTGTGTAATAACATCAATGTTTACTATAATAATCACGCCTATTATTTACTTCTATTGTTGTTACAGATTTCGCCATAGCATCTTTTGGCGGCCAGGGCAAACTTTGGAGCTAGCACAAGAGCTTCCTCTGGTGAGACATAAAGAATCCCGGGACAGCAACATCGGCAGCTGTAGAAATATTTACGCAAAATTCAAAATAACAAAATCAACATCATTATTATCGACAACTATCCTAGTTACCATTGTTCAAATCATTGCCAGTCAAGTAACCAAGCAGCGAAACGGATGCACGACGCCTGCCAGTCCAATGCGTGGCTTATACTAAGCTTGAAACACTTCCACGAACACGAAATAGGACCAATCGCCGTTTGCGATAGCCGTGTGAAGACGGAGCACCAATTCTAAGTTGTTGCTTGAGTAAAGCACAAAATATTATTAGCGGTAGGCTTCGGTAACTGTCACGTCGGACATTACATCAGTGACTTTGTGCTGTTTTAGTATTGTTATTGTCACTGTCTTCGGAAGTCAGTAACGAGCGAAAGCAGTAGTCGTAACGTAGACAATCGCTGTCAGGCCATTGGTGCGCTGTGATAGGGCTATAGCCCAGGCGGCGCGAAGGGAATCGGAGGAGCTAACTTTGTTCATCGAGTTGATTCGGCGCTGTTTGGAAACGAAAAGTAGTAGCCTTTAACACCTGCCGACAACGTTCTGCAATAGCTGACTAAAACCAGCTAGAGAAACAAGGAAGATCACCGGACGAGAGATAAGTGGCGTGACCTAAAGGTCGCCTCAGGGATTGAAAGGAAGAAAGAGCAAAAACCTAATAGCACAGTTGTTGCCAGCAGCTGCGGATCAACAAGATGGGTTCTTTTCTGGAAAAACCAAAAGTAGAAAAACACTCCGAATCGGGAAGAACGACGTCAGGTATCCGATTTGCCCTCTCGTCGATGCAGGGATGGCGGGTCGAGATGGAGGATGCACACACGGCGTTATGTTCAGTGCAGGGCTTTCCCACCTGGAGCTTCTTCGGCGTCTACGATGGCCATGCGGGAGCGGGCGTCAGTGCGAGATGTTCCACCAACCTTCTCCCAGCTATTCTCGAAAATATCGCACGTATAAAAGGTAGGGTAATAAGTGCTACCTTACATAATGTTTTGGCAGTTCGAAAACCTTACTTCATTGTCGAGCGTATCTAGCAGATGCTCACTAGCTTATAAAGGCTACTAAAGCTGAATCGATCTAAATCGCTGTTGATGCTGACTTTATAGCGTTCCTAAATAAGAAAACTGTATCGCTTGTTGTCCGCTCGCCGTACCATTTCGCTATAGATATGAACGAGGACTATGGCGAGACGGGCCCTCTATCGAACGCTATACGCAGCGGCTTCCTACAGTTGGACGAATCAATGCGTACCCTACCTGAAGTTATGGCAGGTCAAGACCGATCAGGTGAGCCCCCATTTTGTACCGATCTGTGTCCTTTGCTAGTTTCTTTTCGTAATATAGTGTAACGTTTCGTTGAGTTTATAGGGTGTCGTTTTAGCTTACTATTGCAGATTACACAACGTACCAACTCGATACCCTGACCTAAATGGCTGGCAACGAGTAATTTGTGATTTTTTTGAATCCGCGCTACGTTTATTTTTTGCTGCTTGAATAGGTTCAACAGCTATCTGCTGTTTGGTTACGAAGAAACACCTGTATTTTGCCAACTGCGGAGATTCTCGAGCTGTGCTGTCGCGGGGCGGAAAAGTGGCGCTGTGCACGCATGACCATAAGCCCGCTAATCCTGCAGAAAGAGACCGCATTCAAAAGGCTGGCGGATCCGTCATGATTCAAAGGGTACAGAATTTATATAATTTTCACCAAACTTAATAGTAATCGTGCAGGTATGCCTATCGTCGGCGATCTCCCCATGTGGTTCTTGTTTATTAGAAAGCTACTAGTAAAGGTACTAATGGAAATTTATTATACAATAACCAGCTATGTGTAGTATGTGAAACAGGCGTATGCGTAATAGCACAAGCAATGAATCCGATGGCAATAATTATTGCGCGCAAAATTTTTGTATGACTGTGAGACGATTGTCCAAACGGACCAACGATGCTCGATTAGGCTTAACAAGTAGGTGATAGCATTTATAAATTGACCATGTTACGAAAAGTAGTTTTTCAGTTTTCATGAAATTATACCTAATGTCCTTGAACCGTCCTGATTTTCAAAATCGATTTTTTCGATAGAGCAGTTCAGAAACTTTCACCTGCTACGAGCGTTATTCAGTTTTTTTTCTAAGATCTTTCTAAGTCTCTGCTTACATGGTCAATACACATTAACTGCTCTTGGCGTAATACGAAAAGTCTATCCGGACAGGATTCGGTACTACTCAGTAGATTGCACTACTCGCTACCGTCGTGTAGTATCATGTCGTGCCGTTGTTTTGTGTGAGATAGATAATGAAGCTTAACTATATATTTGATGACTCACCGCTCTGTGTCTCCTAGCTAGCCCATCGACACACGCTTAGATGAAGGCTTGGGATTACGATGGAACACTGAATCGGCTACAGACATGACATCACATTGAATAGGGACTGACCCATATATGTGTATATATATATATACACGTGTAACTAAATAGGGCTGTTCCTTTTCAATGAACCTGTTAACCTTTTTTAAGCGACCACAGCGTGAACCCTTCTAGACGTGTGATTTTGGTGATGTGACACATGTAAGATAAACGGCACAACAAAGCCTAAGACGTTACGTAATTTTCTGAATTTGTCTAAATGGCACTTACAGTGAAGTATAGTCATAGTACGGACACAAAATCAAGTAGACATAAAGCAAAGGAATTAAGTGTTTCTGTCTTACTCTTTTTTATTTTAGGTAAATGGCAGCCTCGCTGTTTCTCGCGCATTGGGTGATTATGAGTACAAGGCCAACAGCGAACGAGGTCCATGTGAACAGTTGGTTAGTCCTGAACCGGAGGTGACAGCCCTAGACAAAAGTGACAATGACGAGTTTGCGGTACTTGCATGTGATGGCGTCTGGGACGTGATGACTAATGAAGAGGTCTGTATAGGCTACGATCAAGCAAGAAACGAACGAATCATTTATACTATTTCTGTTCTGATAGCATTTCACTTACGGACTGTATTCATAGGTTTGTCTGTTATAGATGTAACGTCATTGCACACAGTGTTAGATAGTTTCAGCAAATAACTTATCCAGGAACTGCCTGTACGCGCGGGTAGCTAACCATCTAGCTGTTATCGAAGTAAAATTTTGTTAAATTATTCTTTTAGAAAATCTATTTATTTACATGTTTCTGTCCAGTAATTCAAATCACAGTTATAGTATAATATAACATGCAGGAGGTAAGCAGGAGCAACCAAAACGTAACTGGTACATAGGTAACTAAGTTGTACAGATAGACTTTCAAAATATTGTCTCGTTAAGTTAATTAAGTTTTTATTCATCATCAACATGCTATTCACACTGTTCAATCATCGTTAGGTGTGCGACTTTGTGCGACATGAACTCCGTACCAATCCTGACCTGGAGGCGATCTGTTCGCATCTTGTCGATGTGTGCTTATTCAAGGGTAGTCGAGACAATATGAGTGTTGTTCTCATCGTTTTTCCGGGGGCACCCGGCCTCGACGAGAAACTCGTACAGGCGAGTACCGAGCAGCCTCACGGCACACCTAGCGACTATTTTACCCCAGCCGTTTGCGATCTCTACTACTGATAGTCTACAAAAGAAAAAAAGTACCATCCAAGATACTCTGGCTTATGGTTAAGTGACTAACTAGTGAGAAACGATTTCCTCTTGCCCAAGTATGCAGAATATTCGCCATTTGCTAACAAATCTGCAAAGCAAATGGGTCTACTCAAGTCGCTAGTAGGTGAACCAGGTCAAGTGGACAGCCATTTAAGCGTTGCATAAAGAGGAGCCCAAACATACATAAATAGCTGTGCTTGAAAAAATAAACCGTTCTTATAACTTGTATACTGACTTCGCGGTGCGTATAACTCGCTCTCTCTCTCTCGCCTTTTGTAAACTTTCGGGTAACTTCATCTAATTGATATTTCGTGCTTCATTTTTTTAAATAGCCAGCTTCAGGCCAGGCATAAGTGTTAACCAAACTTTTATATAAGTAAAGACGACACAGAAGGACACCGCAAATAGAAAATCTTCGGATAGTTGAAACCACGTTAAATATATATGTAAGCTATCATGTGAAGCATTTAGCCTAGCTTTTCGTTACTATTCCACCGTCTCATAGAAGTTAATGGAAAGTAACTCATTTTCATATAGGAATACGTTTTATGAATATGGATGAAGCTATAGACCTGCATAGGCTCGTAATCAGCTCGCCGATGCCATTTCTGGGCACCCTTAATTCTGGGAAAAACGAGCTTCCTTTGTATGCTTTACGACAAGTTAAACCTAACAATGAATGTAAAATTCGCAGCAACATCAAAATTTTTTATATATATGTAACAAGAATTTTTATAGGAACATCTTTACCCCAATAATTAGCGCGCACAAACCGATAGTAACAACATGTTGAATTTTTTTGTTGCCTTTGAACAGGAACTCAAGGAGATAGACGCCTATATTAAGGACAAAGTTAAGAATATCTACAACAGCGGGACGACCGAACTCAGCGATGTTCTGCTGGCGCTCGCCGAAGATTCGAAGGTGATGGACTCTCTACCAAGCGGTGTAGGCATCCACGCGAAGCGGTCACTTGTAGAGGCCGAGCTCCGGCAGCTCAACCCAAACAAGGAACAGCGGCAAGACAACAACTGTTGAGCTTCTTCGTCGCCATTTTCATGTTATCCATCGGAAAAAGCAACAGATACAACAGACAACAGCTATAGAAATTGCGATATTGTCGAAGCCTCACTAACAATCACAGCAACAGCAACAACACAACAAGAGCTACTAGTGACATGAGAGAAAAGTAAATATGTAGCTTAGCTAGACAGCGAGTGAGATGTAAAAGCGTACCATTGCTGCCAACCGGAGCGACAAAAAAAAAACAACAGCAACAGCCGTACCCACTACAAGCGTTAGGCTAAATAATAAAATCAATACAACAACAACAAGAACAACAACAACAACAACAACAACAACAATGAAAAACAGCGTTTAGTAGCGAAAGGTGGCGTATCACTATGGGCCGAGATGTATACCGTTAATTGATTCTATACATACACATACGGAACACGTGTCAAACTGGCGACGCGCTCAGCACAATGCCACTGTTAGATTTCCTATTGCTGTTGTTGTCTCAAGAAAAAGGTAGGACCTGGAAATAGTGGCGATTGTGATGATGATAACAATAATGGAGTAACAACTGTTCGAATGACGGCTAAACTATATTTGTACCGAAGGTTACGTTCGATATACACACATCTTTCGAGGATGTAGAGACGTTAACCTGATGGGCGAAGTCGAAATAATGCTCCTATCTTGTGTGGTATAACTCTGGCAAGCTTCCATGCGAACAAAAAGCAATTAATTGCAATTAACATCTAATTGTGATTTTATTCGCTTGAAGCTGACAATTCAGGTTTCCGCACAGAGTACGTCGGCGCAAAAATGACTAAAAATAACAACAACAATATACATAGAAAAAGAAAACAAACCGAAGAGGTCATATATATATATACGGCTAAAGAGGGCAGAAAAAGACAGGACGAAAGTAAGCATACAGTGGCGTGCGATTGCAGAAGTGAGAAAAGAACGAGAGGTCGAAAGTGACAGAGGGGGGAAAGAGCGATGTTGGACATCAATGGACCTGTGATTATAAATCGTTGATAAAAGGCTGAGAACGGATTTAAATGAGCGCGCGAAGTGAACGAGAGCACGCTAAGCCTCTCTGAGTCAGAAGCAATTTGAGTTCGAACAAGACGCAAAAGAAATTGAAGTAGATGCGTGCTAAGGAGGAATAGAAATTGAGTCAGGTTAAACTAGCTAATGCTGGGTAGGACTGGCATGGCACAAACCGTCGATTTCGTTATTGTCATGGCCGCTGTCGGCAAGCTGTCCAGTCTTGAATGAGTCGCAATGAATCATCTATCGTCAAGGTGTTCGCTGTTTCCGTTTCGGACACCCCCATCGTCACGATGCTAATGTGGATACTACTGGCCTGAACGTAAGATGGCCACTGTGTGTGTGTGTGTGTGTAGAATAATATATATATTATTCTATATATATATATATATACAGCGAAAGCGATGACTCCGTAGGTAAGAATAGCTCCTTGTGTTTTTCTGTCCTCCTTTGGATAGGATCTGTCTCCGAGTCAAGAATCGTTTCCAAAGACTCACTGAATGGAGACATTAATCGGCGGCGATATTACAAAACGTACGTTCTTCCGCGACACTATACTGAGCGGCAGAATAATTTATAAAAAAAAAAAAAAGGGAAACCCCGTCAGCGAACATATAAGCAATTGCTATGAACGATGACAACACGAAGAGCAGGTGTTAATGAGCTTATTCGCTGTTGCGTAAGTGGTGGTCCGTCGCCGCCGCAATGTAATATTGACATGAATATTCAATGCAGAATACAGCAGCAAACGCTGAAGATTATTGCTAAAGGTAAAAGAAGAGAGCCTGGTAAATAGCGATCAGGATATAAATGAAAGCAGTCAAATGAACCGACGGATAAACGTACACGAAGACAAATAGCAACGTCATCTCTGGATATGGATAGCTAAGGAAAAGTAAAACATCGAGAAGGAGACAAAAAGGGAAATTTGGTGGCGAATGATGATATAAAGAAGACTAATGAGGACTTGAGCTGGCCTGAGCAAACATTGACGTAGACAGGACAATATTTGTAATACACTGATATCATGATGATGGTTCTTACTATTATCATTATTTCTTGATTGTTATTTTTGTTTCGTCGTTACTACATGTAGATTTTGAGGCGTAAAAGCGGACGACAGATGGCGCGGTCTCGGGGTGCATCAGCTGGCGAAGGAATAACAAGTTATACGGAACTAAAATGAGAATGAGCTGAGGCTACCTAATACATTTGAGGAAGGTAGAAGAGGTTATGAATTGTTTCAGTAGCCCGACATAGGACTGGCTTGCGAGCTTGAGGCGGAACCGGTGCGAATGTTAATTTGCAAAAGAAGACCCAACAAATGGCTAGGGAACTCGTGCGAAAATCAGTTCACCAGTTTAGAATAAACCACGAGCCAGCCAGAGAAATGTTGATAATAGTGACGATAACGAAAAAATTATATTCTTCGACTAAGCTGTTGAACTTTAGAATGCTTCTGACGAAGCTGTGAAAGAATGAGGTGGATCGTCTAAACCTATGATAAATAGAGCGACGAACATATGACCGAAGGGAAAATCAGGGAAAATAAAAACATGATGTAGAGTAAGGAGCTAAATGTGAAGACAAATAGACAAAATGTATGTATATTTCCCGTGTTTTTGTTCTTTCGGCATTGGCTGACGTATTGCCAACGTTCACACTGTAACGATACCCCATAGCCCGGCTGCTTCAGCGGCATTCCCTAAAAAGCAATGCTAGATTGAAGAATGAAACACAGAGGTATAAACTGGGTGAAATTCGGAAAAATGTGCAAAAGACCCGAAAGCTTAAGAATGGACTAAGCATCTATTCCAACGAAATCAGAAAACCTTTCCTGCTTCCGATTTCCTGTCCCTATTCCGCCTAATGTAATGATTCGCGTGTGTCGCTATTCGCTTTTTGAATTCATATACAAATGTATTCATAATTCTACTAAAAGCTAGAACATCAGGTTCGTATGTTGAAAAAAATTAGCCTGAAAAAGGAGTTAATCTACGAATTTACTTATAATTTTGAAACTGCAAAAGTATTTAGGGGTGGTGTGTTATTTTAATACTTTTTGAAACTATACTGGAATAATGAAAATTACAGTTGTCATATCAACTTTTACCAAAAAGTTTTTAATTGCGTTAGGCTAAAGTTAAGCACTTACTGGTGATCAAATTTTTGCACACTAATTTTGTATGAGTTATATCTCACTACTCAATCGCACAACATTCTGAAGTCACTCGCATGGTTGGACTAGATATAGAAGAGATTTACGGTTTTCAACGAAATTTAAGGTTAGGCGCTTGGCAAATTATACACTGAGAAAAATGTTGCAGTTACAGAGGAAACGCATATCATTGACCTTGATCTGGTTGTAATACGTGATGCCAGACGTTGCAGGTTATATGATTTCATTACGTTCTATTGACTATTTCTGGTCTTCATCGTATGTACATACTGATAAGCTTAATTTGTTCTGTCTTAAAAAATGCGTTTTCTACAGTGACTATGGGTCCATTAGATATTATCAAGTAGCCTGACGAATCATCTTGCATCCACGTCCCCGTGTAGAGAAGAGCATTTTTGAACTTGGACATACTCCTCGTTTCATTAGCGCATCATGTTTACGATATCTCTATTAATTCATTTTTATATGTATTCTTATGTTATCGTAACTTTTCGTTAGTTATTTTTTAAATGTATGATTATCCGCGGCCTCTTTGTAGACTGGAAGCAGAGCAGCTCAATCGCTTCGCAAATGCTTGCTGGTACTCGTTTTATTTGAAACAATCTTTTGTTCTGCCCTGCGTCTTAAAACAGATCAATTTTTCAGAAACACATAAAAAGACTCTTTTTGGCCTTTTGCTGGTGTCTCGTGACAGGAACAACCATCAGAATGGCCGCTGTGGTACGTACTGATTGTAGGTGCATAGGAGTGGCATTAGACAAAATTTTATTTTTGCCATAAATATTCAGTAGCGAGGATATGTTGCTGAAATGGACCTGTAGAAATTACCCTTTTTTTTACCAAACATTTTGCTGTTATTGCAGAATATTCAATAACAGAAAGTAAACCAGAATTAGTTATGTTACCAGGATGAATTAACTCATTGTTAGCTGAAGCTCTAAGAGTTCGTAAATACACTGATTGTACCACATAACCCATAGAGGTTGCTGCTGAAATAACACCACACTAATGAATGCAGGAATACATTGGTTTGGAGTATAGGTAAAGCGCACGAATGCAAAAAGCAACGATCTAATCATCCGGCTATCGAATCAATTGCAATAGAACGAATTATCTCGTAAAAACAGTTACTACAAAGATGCACTGAGGGTAAGTCATAGCAGCGTCTTAAAAGGCACCTATGCGAATGTATAGAAAAGGCAGTAAACTGGGAAAAAAATAATTACTAAACGCAAACCAAAATAGAGGCACTAGAAAAGAAGGGAAGCCATTATGCAGAAAGAGTATGTTTGAAATGAATGCTGAGTAAAATTAAGAGAGAACAAACGTAAAAGCAAAGGAAAGGAACTCTATTATGAGGCGGCCTGTGTAACACCGGAACGACTGCGCCAACTTCGCTATAGAGACTAACAACTAAACCGATGAAAAAAAGATTGGCTAGAAGACCAGTAGTTTACGAGACTGAAGGGATAAATAAGGAAATATATGATGGATATATAAAAGAACAGATAGCGTAAGAAGATCGGTCACAGAAAGCACCTATTTTCAACACATATTTTATGCTGCGTTTGTTGACCGTTCGAAGGCCGACTGTGTCGCCTACAAATACACACCTCAAAAAAATAGCGTTCGAATACATTTAATACTATTGCTTACCCAAATTGGATCCGTACACTCAAGGCAACACACCTAAAAAATAGTATATATATTCGACTTCGTCTTTGAGGTGTTTGCAGATATGAATGCTTCTTTTTAAGTAAAAGATTTTTCCAAAAAAAAAAACCTGCAAACCCCTTGAACTGATTTTTATTTTATTAAGTATATATTTATTTAAGTCACTAAGTCTATAAAATAATAGGCGTCTTACAACTAAGTACAGCAAAATCCGAGTGAACTGTTTGAATCAACATGATGCTGTTTTTATTACTAAACGTATAACACGAGCTCGCAACTTATACATGGTAGACATAAACCTGGAGCAAATAAACCAAACTGATGTTATCTAGACTATCACGGCCGGGCATCCGACAATGAGATGAAATAACTTTGCTGCCGTCAACACGAAAACGTGACGCGGGTATCGAAGTGGAAACAACCTAGAACGTTTCTCAAAACAAAGCGATATATACGAGAAAAAAACAGAAGCGCACGCACACAGCCGCCGAAATAATGTACATATTACTGTAAATAAATTTCATGTTACTTATTCTAAAATGGTGTCGTATAATAATTGACGTGGACGATTTGTATTGCGGAAAATGTCGGTATTCAGAATAGAGAACCGCACCAAAGAATTCAGACAAAGTCTCAATGCTCGACCAAAACGTAAAAATTCCCAACAGTAAATAACGAATACAAGTTGGATCGATAGCTAGGTCTGTTAAATCTCTACGCCGCCATGCAATAGCATCATGATCTACGTGATTCCTTAAACTTCTTTAGGAACTTACGCTAATCTTCACAGTTCTCGGCGAAGTAGCTTAAATTTGTTTCTTGTTTTTCTCGAAATGTGCATGTGTTTTACGTGACAGACCTCAAACAACTGGTCACTTCATATGGGCCCCGACTTAAAAGTTCCATACGTGCGAACTTCATATAGCCCACATCAGTTTTAAGATATATTGTCTACGCATAGAGTTTATTAGTTATCTATGCGATATTTCTGTTTTTGTTCATGTAAAAAAGATCTAGAGTTTACACCTAAGTGGAGTAGTCATAATCTTACTTAATGATTAACGAAAGACTTAATGATTCAAAACGTTTATTATATACAAGCGTTTTAAAATTTTCACCACCTACAGATTATTAATAAAAACAGCGTTTGTTTATTTACTAGTGAACCGAATGCTTAAAACCTGTTTGTACCTGACAAGTAGCTCAACCACGTAAGGACTATTGGCTCATACCATTGGAAAAAATAATACGCTCGATTCTCGGCACTAAGAAGGAATTCCTGCTATGCAAATGGCATAAAGTTTACACCGAAATTAGTCCTAAATGTGGCTATCCGTGCGGTGAATTTGGTTCGTAAAACAAATAAAACAATTTTCTCACAGATCATCTCCATATAGATAAACAATTTTCAAATAGCAATATACACACGATTGTTTATTGAACAACACAAGCCTTTTTCCACCTTCGAACAGCTACAAATACAGCACGTATATATAAGTGTGTATAATATGCAGCCATTATAAGTATATGCACGTACTATGCCGATATAACGTCCCTCCTCCATTTGAAAAGGAAGCATTGCTGGTACTCACTCGGATATATATATATCAGAGGAGCTCAAACGGCTTAAAGACGTTTTTTGCTCCATTAGCCAGCTCATGAATAACTTTTTCGGGTAATGATATCTCATTCGTTTTTTCCATTTCGTATAACACCTCTAAAAGATTCGCTCCCTGTTTAGCTTTTACGGTCAACTCCAAACCTTCGGTGATTTCAAAGTGGGCTTCTTTGTATGGGCAGGAATGCTCGGCCGGATACTTGGTAAGAGTGGGTTCCCGAACCAACCGGCGCAAAGTGTTCGGTTGAAAGTGCAGCAAATCCTTCAGATAATCTGGAAAATTATCTCGTCGAAGGCCGAGTTTCGCTGCTTCGTTAGTAATGACTTGACAAAGTGGTAGTTTCTTTTCAGCATATTGGGGCAGTATTCGGCGTCCGAGCACCACCTGCAAGGAGCTAAGTATAACTTTGATCGGCGTACGGTAAGGTACAATGAACATTGAAGGAATATCGTCGACGATGTAGATCAGGCACGTCTCTGGCAAAGACGATGTGTTGGCCGCATCGTAACGATCAATACTGAATACGGCAAGACCCGGCCGGCGAGTGTAGAGCACGTTCGCCTTATAAACTCGATCGTCATCTCCTTCACGCCATCGCTGCAGTTCCGTTGTGAGTCTTTCTACAACTGTCACCATCAAAACGCTATCATCGAGTTGTGAGCGTAGCCGAGTAGGGTAGCTTAATTTGATAATGCCCGTAGCGCCAAATGCACGCTTTCGAAAGGCAAATTTCGAAAACAGAAAACGGGCAATAGAACATAGTCTGTCCAAGCTTTCACAGGCCTTCTCGATTTGATCGAAGGATTCGGAACATTTTCCGTACAGTTGATCAAGTAAATCGCTCGGCCAGCTCGGACGATTGTAATCGGCGCGGTATCTTTCCAAATATCGGCGTAGTTCAGATACATCAATGTCATCTAGAAGAACAATCGATAAAAAATAATGGAAAAAAACCGATTGCTACTTTTGCTTGGTATTATGTTAAACAATTTAGCCGAATAAGCTTTTTGTCAAAGTTATCGTCAACAACATTCAATAAGCTATTATTGCACGATTGTTGGATTTTAATGTTTCACTTGCATACATGTACTAATTATGCAAACAGATTCAGAAAAATAGCTTACCAATACAAAAAAGCAGCAACGGTGAATATGTTGATACGTAAGGTTCGCCTGGCCTTTGCGGTAATTCTTGCAGAACTTTTCGGATTTCCGGAGTTTGAGGACGCACTCTGTCTCTGTTAGATGGCATTTTTTTCCCTGAATCAACCGCGAAACTTTACCTAAGACAACTTGTAGAAAAAAGCCTGTTGACAGTTGAATCGGCTGAATTAAAATACGATATTGATGGGCATTTTACCGTACGGATTCTAAAACGATGCTCAAGGAACAAAGAGTTGATTGGAAACATTTCCGCAGACACACATTTATCTACAGTTTTACAAAATTTGATTGAGAGCTAGCTACTGTTTTCGTTTGTGAAAGCGTTTTAGTTTTTTTCAATGAACTCTTGTTAAATTTGTTGCTCACCTGTTATTGGTGCGTTACTCCAAAAGCAACTAAAAACATCCAGGTCAACCTATATGGTCCACATCACACTCATTGCTGCCATGATGTCACTATTATGTAAAAGGCACCACTTAAATACATAAAGTTTTATAACTGACCGTTTATAACTGACAGCGCGGCTTTTGAGGACCAAAACAAACCGCTCCTAAGCTTCTTCTGTATGACTTCGCTTTACCCGCTAAATGGCCAGGGCCAGCTGTTGCTGATTTCGGCAAAATTAGCTATAAAATTAAAATCTTTATAAAGAGAAATAATGACTTCATTAGCTGATCAGGCACTTAACCTGATTAAGGAAGTTCAGCGATGCCGAGATTTCTTACAGCCCATACGGGAGGAAATAATGAGGTATGAACATTACGAGCAATATTATACAAAAGTGAAAAGGTCGAATCTATGCCATTTTTTGATATTTCTCGTATACTAGCTAATTATGGGTAACAAAATATACTGAAATTTATAAAAATGTAGAATTAGAATTTGCTTCTACATTCTTATAGAATCATTTGTTATATTTAATTGAGACATTGAAACCTTAAAAAATAATACACATAAACGTTGATGTAAAATTGCTAGTCTGTGACGATAAACATGAGCAAAACTATTATACACACACAGACACATATATATGTAGATATAACTCTTTGGATTTTCATTGAAAAAATGCTGAGTAGTTCACAATGTTCTCGTTAGCTAAAAGTTTGTAGAAGACAAAGGATGCTGCCTCTCAAATAGATGACACGTTCCAAAATAATTAGTACACACACAGATATAAGGACTGCCATAAGCGTATGTTATTTGTATTTTAGCTGATGTGCCCACTAATATGTCATAACGGTAGCCGAACAGTATTTTAGGTTAACATTTCTGTTTCCCGTTGCCCTTTTTAAGCGCGACCTTTCATTCATAGCATACATCCATTGAGAGCAACGAAAAATAGCGCCGAAATATCTTATAGATTTAACGACACCTACGGGACAACTTGTGCGAATAAAGAACATGAATAAAGAATACTTTTTTTAGGTTCTGTAGTTATTTAATGGATAAACCTTTCTGTTTCTTTATAAACATGCGCTTTGTCATCGGCGCACAACTCTCATGCCCTGAATTTTCGTAGAAGAAATATTTATTTTACATTTTATATTTCATGTAGGAACATTTTTGAGGAGATGCATGTTTTGAATGAAGAGAATCAAAAAGACGTTCGCGTCATTACCGCGTCAGATTCTGAACGTCAGGATAGTTCGGCTTCCGATCTGCATGTTGTTCTCTACGTCAGACATCAGCTACTCCTTCGTCTCAGGAGGTATAAATCAACTACCAATAGCTTTTAGCATATCCTTTATTTTTTTTAGATAAGTCACATCCCTTTCTCAGAATTGTCGGATTCGTTTCACTTGTCTACGTAGTACCACCTTGATATTAAGTTGCGTGATGTTTAAAATCGTCACAGGATACGTTCCTTTTAAATTTATATTTAAAATACCACACTACCAACCACATTGCGCATGATAATATTAGGCACCGTGCCGTGCTAATGAAATCAATTTTATTCAAGCCCTTTTATGCAATGTACATTACTCAATACGTGTAGAAAAATAGAATGTTTTTTAAACGATCTATGTTTTTCTAGAAACGTCCTGTAATAGAACGCTATGTACTTGGTCTTCAATAGGGCTTTCTGTGAAAAATGTTGCCAATATAAAGTAGTCGAGGCTAAGCGAAAACATGACGAATTCGTTTCGTAAGAACCAGATTTATTATTTTGAGAAGACCATTTTTTTCAGCAAGCAGTTTAATTCTATATTTTTTGACAAAGTTGTGTTTGCTGACTTCATTTATATTAACACAATTTGCTCGTTTGCTTCTGCACTGCTGCATCTGACTGTGTCAGATGCGTTCTCGCTTATCTGAACTGCCGTTTGCAGGTAATCCGCGAACTTCGCTGGGCTTTCGGCCCTGTGCTTCCTCGGGACATCAAAGCGAATATAACTGATGGTGAACACAAGTGGTTCGTTGACTACTCTTCAGCCCTTGGCAGGTAAAAAGAGCGTCAGTCTTCGTACACATGGAGTAGTCTAGGCTCAGAACCAAGTACACTCCATCTCGCGGTGGGAGCCAACCATTTGAACCGATGCTTAATGGCAGTAGCGAAGATAAAACTCAAAACACTTACACAGTGAACGAGCATGGCTATCCGGCAGCTTTATATGATTGCGTTCCGGTTTTGGTTTATTTTCACAATCTATATAGGATTAACGAAAAACAAAAGGGGTTTTCAATACTTTTTGAGTGCTTCATAGAAAACAGTGATTGTATACTTCTCCTTTAAACACAGAAACCGTTTTATAAACTTGAGGCATGGTAAGATCGAAAATTCTTTTTCAGTTTCATGCAAACTTTGTTTCAGAAGATGCCTCCAATAATACAGAGGCACCTTAGTAATTATCCGACTAATCTCAAATCAAATTGAAAGTGCGTTCGATTGTACCTGTATAATATTTTTGTTTTTTTTTTCAACTTTATGCTTGTAGGTATATGGCATCAATTGGCGAAATGGGCGTTGACCTTCTACAGCATACGCGACCGCCGAAGTGTTTGTACATCGAGGTACGGGTACTCGAGGACTATGGTGATTTCGAAACGGAAGACGGCCAAGTGGTTGTGCTCGCCAAAAACTCGACCCACTTTCTCGAACGAATCCATTGTGAAAAACTTATTCGACAGGGAGTGTTGGAACATGTCGTGGGATAGATTTATAAAAATCCTTTTTCGAAAAGCCCAGCCAGATCAGGCGGGCCGACGGAAACATATCGGGAACAATCTCCTAAAGCTCTTGTATCGTAAAAAGATCATTGTAACTGGCGTTCTGTACACGTTTAATTAATGCCATTCTAGCCATTATTCATTCACGTATTTGTTCTTTTTAGTGTGGTTGGCTAGTTCTGCGATGTAATTAGTCCGTGTTGAAATAAGTTTATCTTGAAAATTGTATCAATTAGTTTCTCCCATGTTCTATAGCTTAGCAACATTTTAAAAGACTAATATTCGTGTATTGTGCATAAAGTTTAGTCAATAAATATCAATAAACGGGTACGCATAGACATTGTCTGTAACGAGATCCCTTTTTAATTCTCGTTAAAATTTTACGGTTTGTGCTATGATGGGTTATTGCTTTGAGTTGTAAATACAGTTACACAAATAAAATGAATACCTTTTTCTTTAAAAAAAAAAAAAAAAGAATTTACCGTTACCATTTTACTATTTCCTACTAGCCTCTCTTTTTGTTTATGGTTCGATAAAGCTTGTAATTCTAGATAGCTGATTTAGATAAATGCCCAGTCTGTTTGCGTACAGTCCGAACAGTGCTTAGTTTTGATCAATTATTCACGGCTTAAGCTCATCACGAGTGTCCCTAAAAAAAGCCAAGCAAACAATTCTCAGAAATTAAGGGCTATTAAATCAGCTGATTATTATACGTACTTGTTATACGTACGCTTTTTGTTGTACGAATGAAAATGTTATAAATTACACTGAGCGTATTATGTGGCCACACTATTATGATTCGCTTATCTGTTTAGCTCATTTTTGTGAGCCTTGCTGCAGCCTTTGGATCGCTTTTCATGTTTGTGCTAGAGCTAGATTAGTTCAGAATAAATAGGACATCTGAAAAATACTTGTTTCTGAGAGTTTTTGTTTAGGTAACTGATAGAGGGGTTTTCCGGCTCATAAATATGACAACTGTAGGCTTCATACTCTAAACGTTCCAGTACCGCCATTATGCACTCCATCAGACGGCTGGCTTCCAGCACAAAATGACATGTATCTATGTCCGGATTCGCATTCCGATCACCACGCGTTCTTCGAACATACTTTGCCCATTATTATAGAATAAAAAGAACAGAAAGTCGGTTCAGAATAAATGAACTGTTGTGCAATAATTTTACCAGAAATGCTCACTCTACAATGTCGCTGAAAAGTATCTAATGATAACACTTGATTAATGAAACGAAAATTATATATTAACTAATAGTAAAAAAAACTGGTCAGCTATTTAAAAGAAAAGGTTTTTTTTTCTATCACGACAGACAGACAGGAAACCAGTTACCTTTTGTGTTAACTTACTTTTAGATTATTTTTAAGGTAAGCTACTGCAAAGTTTTTGCCAGCTTCTCCCCATAATATACGCTTTCCTGGAGCCTCATTTTTTCCACAATAACGAATCTGCTATGTTTAGTCAGTTCGTTCAAATCGCAGGAATCACCATTGGATATACGCGTTTAGCGGCCAAGAATAGCGCAAAGGAATGTATTATACATTTAGAGTCAATTTATTTACATATGGAACGAGTAGCTTCTTCGTCATTGACATATACGAGCTAAAGTCGTGGTGTATTCCAACTCGTTAGCGCTTGCTTATTATCTTCAGGCTCCATCATTACTTATACCTTATGAACATTACCACTGCAGCGGCTGGCGAATGGGAGGCGATAACACCTTTACCGAAGTTTTATATTTCAGTTACTTTTCCCAAAACTTATTATATGGGAAGCTGTATTAAATTTAACCTCGTCTTACTAATGGCATAAGTTTCGTTGAGCTTGTTGCATTTCTGATATTTTTCTTTTAGTACCATTCTATACCTTTGTTTGTCCTTCGGTTTGACAAAAAAAGATGGACTTCACATTTTTGAACGCCACTTAGATGTACTCCTCACTGAATCAACTTATTGTTGCTTAATGGTAAGGCCGTCACTGCGTTACGATGATCCCTAATGTGAGTCCACGAGTATTTTACACTTGTTGGCATAGGGACAACAATGTAAAAAACACACTCTTGCACTCATTCGTCAGTCAATGCTCACTCGGCTTTTTATCTTAACTGCATTTTTTTAGGTTTTACCTTTCTAGTCGCTTTCCTGTATACAACGCTTGAATACGTGCAATCATCTCGTTTCTGGTCATCTTAATATTTACTGTCCCGATAATTAATATTTATAATAGTAATAATATTAAATACATGAGTAAATAATTTCAACTAGCCTCATCAAAATTTACAATGTATGTGGTGAATCGAAAACAAGTCTTCATTTGCAGCTCGTACATTAACGTATGCACAGTGTGACTTAGACGTTCCGATACTGTTGGAAAAGTAAGCTTATTACATACAATGATCTTTTTTCTATAGGTTTTATCTATAAATTATTTTTGTCCGACCGCAAAGTGACGTTGAAAGCTTCCTACATATATATTACGGTTTTTTTTTAAAAACGAGGCCCACAACATTTCCTCCAGCACGACCAGAGTTCATTCGCGCCCTGCAATTTCATCATTCATAAGCATTGTGAATTTGCGAGCCTTAGCAAAGGTTCCATACACATCGTATTAGTTTCTAAAAAGTGTTGTGCGGATCGGCGATATTTTTGAAAATAAATGACAGCATGGATTAAGACAGCGATACTGTAGACCGAAGGATGGAACGCCTATTATTTAATCAACATTAAACAAAGTAATAATTACAGCTACTCATACTTACACCTAACATTGAGAAGCGTTAATTGATTTCACTTTCTCTTCTGCAAGAATATCTCGTGGATGCAGGAAGAATCGGAATGGGATAATTCCCTTCTTGGTGCATTCATCGACCCCTCATTCGTATAACGGCAGAATTTCTATTGTTTTACTTTTGTCCTCATTAAAATCCACTTGCCTTCATAAACTGTTAATTGATTATTTAGATACATTAATATTTCGATAACCGTGTTTGCTAGGCTTCCACAACATTCCGTGCTATGCCAACCGGACATATTAGATGTGTCCGAATGTTCAGCACAATTAAATGACCGCGGCAGCGTTGTGGCGAGGTCGTAACGATGATCTGATCCGCAAAAGATAAGTATCTTAATAACTATGGCTTCACGCCTATACTATATACGTATGTGGCTGGCGCTACTGAGTTGGAAAGCTGTTGATTAAGCGGCACAGTGTTCCTTGTTCCTTTCTAATTAGAGTTGAAGGTCAGCTGAATTCTGCTCTTGGTCGGGTGCAAGACGCTGACGATACGAAACGCTGTGAGAAGCCACGCGTGTTTTCATGCTGTCGGTGGTTGATATTTCCTACCCATAATAATAATAATAATCGTAATAATGATAATAGTAGTAGTGTTTACTGTTTTCTTTGTTAGTGGCCTGAAATGTACATAATGAAATGGGAGAATGGAGGGTTGTTATTGAGGACTTAATCATCATCACTCCTTTCAGCGTTAGTATCCATATCCGTTGTTGTTGGTTCTTCTCTCGCCCTCTTCCGTGGAACCTCTTCCGACGGTGAAGGTTCGCGCCGTTTTGACGTCTTCTTATGACCAGTCTGATAGTGAAGGTATCTAAAAATATCAGCAACAAAAGAATATCGTTCTGAGTGTATCTACCAAGCTATTAGACGTTATAAAGTCACGTACAGAAACTTAAAATCGAAACTTTGTTTGACGATTAATAACAGTACAATTGGGTTAACGTACGGACCAATATTATAGCTGTAGCCAACTGTACGAGATTATTCACTGAAAAAGCTTTCGTAAAGATCGTAGGAACCACGAAAGAAAGTTTTTCAAATGCCCACATACCTGTCGTTGAGGTGTGGCATAGAATAATAGAACTAAGCAATTGCGCTCAGTAGACTTAATTCGTTTCGCACATACTAGAAATCTAATGTTGAAGACTTTTATTTTCTAGTATCCATACTAGTTCTGTTATAGGCATCTGCGCTTCGCCAAATAAAGCTTTCATCGGATACAAAGCAACGCACTTCGCGATTAAGATGCAGAAACGCATCTTATTAACACAGTATTATTGAACAAGCTAAACAGATGTATAGAAGTCTTCGACATTATGATATATTATCAATGCCAATCTAATTACAAACCCCGATGAGAGTTTGTAATTAGATTGGGTTCATTTAACACACCTAATATTATCCTTTTTTGTCGTTGTTAATCTACTAAAACCACATCAAATAATAAATGTTATTCGGTGTTGCTTGTCACCAGATTTGCCTGATAAAAATATTACGCTAAAAAGCTAGGGTGTCATGTTTAAAAAGCAGAGAAACTTTCTTAAGGATATAAATCGTGTGCGTCAGCTGATAACGCTACCATGTTGGGTATTTTTGTTCATTATTTGTTCAATATTTGTTCTTTATTGTGCCGTAAAAAGCTGAAATACATGTTTGAATATTATAGATTTTTTCTTAGCTAACCATCGATTTATAACGCCTAATAAATTTCCGCTTTGAAGTTTTTTTGAACGAAAGTAAAGCGCACTTTCACCCTTTGAACATAAGTGCTTTTTGTATTATGCCATTCGCTCGGTTGAGGAAATACTTTCTTGTGAGGGGGATCTCCACACAAAAGTCTCATCTAGATGCGAACAGGTCACGTATGCATGACTTGCCTGTAATACCGCCCTCATTACCGTGTTACCCGTCACCAAAACACATTTGGAAGTATTTTAAAATTAGATTGTTATTATACATCCGAACTGTACAAGCAAATAGAATACTGAGCTTCAAAAGCCACTTTTTACAGTCATTTTGTGATGTATAACGGGTTCGAAGATAATACTGGAAGAAAAATATAGCCCACTAAACGTTCACTACACCAGCAAGCGATACACGTTCGACACACATCGGGTAAATAATGGCCCAAATAATCGGTCCGTCCCGGCGTCTTGGGAACAGGCAGTAGAGTAGTGAAAAATCAGTCCATTTAAGTGCTACTTATACATAGAGCACTTCTCAGCAATAATACCAGATTTTATTGCTAATGAAGGAGACAAAACTAATCAAAAGCAATATTGTAATAGCATTGGAGGCATTTCTAGAGAAGTTTAAACACAAGGAAAGTTAAATTTGATCACAGTATCGGCAATGCACACATCGCAACCCTGAAAAACTGAATCTCTTTATAAAATAATATGAATATATCCTATCTGCTTAGCAATTTTCGCAAAATCAAATGCCCGCACAACGGATGAAAAGTCTGTGCGGGCCCCTATCACTAGGTTAAATCTGAGCTACTAAATAGTCGTGGTAAAGTATATCATGGGAGTTCTTCTCGTTTATTTTTTCACCAATATCACCATGTCAATGTGAGCAAATAATAAAGGACGTACCCATTCTGATATTATCTGTTACTTACAGCTCACCCCATTGCTCAAACCTGTAACCTAGTCTGGTTCCGGAGCTTTGTAACAATATTTCAGTTAAACGAAACACGACGCAATATCTAAACAAAAATCCCTTTGTCCTACGTGGGAACTGTTTATTCTACCACAGAACACGTCTATTGCGTGTTAACTAGTACGGCAGTTACAGCGTTTTAAGACGTGTTTATTACTCATCGCCCTATTTGATCATGGTAAGTACATGATGGATTCACATTTAGACATGCTAGTGTGTCTTTGAGAATTTAGTATGATAGACTTTTCTCATATAGGTTGTTACTCATTTGGCGTTTTTCCTACCTGAGCAGAATATTCGTTTTTTCCGAAGTAATCACTTGCGTATGGGGCTGATCGTTCAGAGGAAGATACACCGAGGGTCGCTTCCCTCCACCCGAACGGCACGCTGAAGACGGTAAAAACTTTGAAAAATTCTTAGAGTCAAACGAAGGTAGGTTAGCAAGGGCCGACTTGCTCTCTTGACCCGACGAGGGTCCTGCAGAGAATAACAGTTTCGTCCCACCACCGCCTCGAGTTGCGACCGACATGACGACTCTGGCTTCGAGGTGGTAAATAGATTGCACTGTAGAACTGCACGCAACTAAACAATGCGGTTTTCCGCTACAAATGTCCGCTTTCTTGTTGATTTTCCTTGAAGACTTAAATGCAGTACTATAAGATCCAGCAAACTCCCGCAATCATGGATTGGTAGGCTCGTTTAGGAACACACCGTAGCGCACTGCTGCTCCGCTATTGCCTTTGCGGGATTTTCGAACGAAACGATTCACGCCTACGTACAAAAAGAATACGAGAAAATGCATTATCTAGCCACCTGCAATCACGTAGTTTTAGTTTGGATGTAGGCCAAAGTTCGCCATGTACGACAAACAGAGCTGCATAGACACAGACAGGTAAAATGCACGAGTGGCCACCCAGTTGCACAACTCGAACTGCTGCTGCCTAGCGTTTAGTCAACAGCTACTACAGACAACATAGACCTTCAGGTCGCGCTAGCAGAACCAAATATATAGCTTAATAACTACAGTAGCAATCGCTAAATTACCTTTTTTGCACGCGACGAGCTTACCAAACAGATATACAATCCCAAATATTGCTACTGATACGAATTTACATAGAGAATCTGAGACAGAAATTGCAAGAATCATATCTTTGCTCACACTTTTCGTACCACGCCATACAATTCTGGAACGCAAAACACACACCTAACACTACGAATACAAGTTCTTCTCCGTGAACGCAGGACTTTAGAAGCAGTAGCACCCGCTATAACACGCAGCGAACGGCTAGGTACTGTGTCAGCTGGAAGCTCTCGCCACATGTTTCTATGCGTTACAAAGAATATGTGTAAATTGTAAGCTCTAGGCGTAAAACGAACAAAAAAGTTACATTAAAATAGTCTGGATTTCTTAGCATGAACGGACATGCTCATTAGGTAAATTGTAGTCTGAAAAACAGCTAAGAATAATAGCAAATCTTTAAAAAATAGCAAGGTTTAAAATAAAAACAAACCTTGTTTTGCCAAGATGGCGGATGGTTTCCGGTATGATTTCCTTTTTCGGCTGTGACTGTGGCGTGGTGTAGGTTCTTCTTGGATTTTATAAAAATTGTAATAATATTAGCAAATTGTGCATGTGCAATTGTTAAACAGAAGTGTTGAAAATTTACTCTAATACTGGATATTGTGTGTATGATTCACAGATTTACTAGGCGTTCCATAAATCATCAATATGGTAAGAGATAACCTAGGCTTTTTACTTCACTTCGATATGCCTGTGATATTACAGCAATTAATTGATGAAAAGATGTATACCAGTAGTAGTGGAGTGTTTGCTTGAAATAAAAATCCTTTTAAATATAAAAAAAAAAACATTTTTGCTTCATCATATAATTTCAAGAGGCTTAAAGTAAATATCGTATACAATACTACCAATTTGATCAACCCCGCGTGTAATGTTTACCATATTCACGAACGACAGTATAATAGTGAATTTCAAACAATTTTGTTTAGTTAGATTCCATTATCCATACTGGTAGAAATGCGCGATTTAATCGTAGTGGTTGTTCCGTAAAAACCTAACATTATATACGGGTCACGCAGTATGTTCTATCTGCAGTTTTTCTCAGGAAGACCGCTGAATGACAGGGTAATGAGCATGTTTAGTTGAAAAGCTCTTTTTCAGATTTAACTTATCTTAATAAATTTAAAACTTAACTTAGTGGACTTGTTTCGCTATTTCAGTTCTTAACACTGTCCGTGTGTGCTGTGATAATTTAACGTATGATTTTACAGCCTAAACAGTTGAAGGAGATCAAAGATTTCCTAATCACGGCGCGGCGTAAGGATGCCAAGTCCGTCAAGATCAAGAAGAACCGTGACGATGTGACCAAATTCAAGGTCCGGTGCTCGAAGTACCTCTACACTATCGTTGTCAAAGAGAAGGAGAAGGCAGATAAGCTTAAACAGTCTCTTCCCCCTGGTGCGTAATTATTCGTTAAAATAAGTGAGGGGAACATATAGCCCCTTAAAGCGAGAGCTCATTCGCTTGTGATTAAAGTTTCGTAGAAGTTAATCGATATTTCTACAGAAAATTTGTCAGCTAAATGAAGCTAAAGCATGTGATACTTTTTAAAGCTTTTTATGTAAGTTCTAGTAACGCTCAGCAGCTAGACAATAGCTTTTATCATGCAGTTGTTTATAATTTTAATTTGAAGCACTTGAAAAAAACAAATGAAATGAATTAATGTATGCGTAGTCTAGCAGCGAACAATTATATTTGTCTGCTCCTGTTCGTTCTGTCTCTGCTCTTCAATTCTAACAAATCCTTCGTTTTTTATGTTTCAGGCCTCCAGGTTAATGAGCTCAAATAAATAAAATGTCGAACGAGACTGTTCTTTCGGGCCGGTATACTTGTGTTTTCTTTTAGTAAGGCGAAAAATGTCAATAGTTCAGCTTTTACTATTATTGTTTTCATGTTTTGTTATATTTTTATGAAGTAGTTTAGTAATACGCTATTGGTGAATGCTGAACTAGGTTGGACAGTTACAAAAAAAGGAAAACTTGGTAACCATCTGCATATTCTCAGAGAAGTCCGTATGCCGGAATAGGTAGCGATTTTAGACTAACAGTATTATTTCACGAAACATCTTGTTCAATATCTGTGAACGACTAAAAACCAATGTATTCGTATTGCATTGATAAGAACGAGCAGCATATGTTAATTTAAGAGAACAGAATAGCCTGATGAAATAGGAACTTAATCGTATTATTGCACTAATTAGTATAGTATAATTTTGTCATAAATTATCCTAGCTGAAGCTTTGGGCTACTTCTAAAGTTGTGTACTAATCTTAGTTATAACAATGAGAAATGCTATTTCTTCACCTACATGGTTGACAAGTTATTAAGAACTGAATATGTTAATGCCTAGTCGTCTCAACAGTGGAGGATCTCAACAACGACAGGATTGTGGTTTTTGAAATAGTTAGAAGGAGTACACTAAAAACCTAGTAACGAGTATCTCTGCAGTACCCTGGCCATAAAGCGCAACGATTTGGTAATTAAATGCATGGAGTTGTTTATTGTTTGGTCCTTCGAAGTAGAAGCAGAGTATTTTCGGGACAGAGCGCTGTGGTCCAGAGCATTAATCAATTTTATGCAGCCACTTCGTTCGATTTGGCTAAACAATTCTAGTTGACTAATCTTTCTGCGGCTTGTGTCACGATAAAGTATCCGAATTAATTAATAAAAATGTAATTGAATACTCTGTATTTCCAAAAGAACATCGAGCACCTCAAAAGGTTGAAGAAAGTTTGGCCACTAGTATTAAATTTTTCTTTAGTTGTCGAAGAAGTCAGTACACGTGCAAAAATTACTAAAATAAAATCGAACCACGTGCCTAGTTTTGTCGGCACGCCATCTCTATATATATTTCTCAGATATTGTTGCAAATTGTAGTAATCTTCCTTTCGCTTCTAAGCCGTTAATGATCTGATGTTTGTGCTCATAGGTGTCGTCCGCGCTATAGGTAGATATTTTTATTGGAAAAATGTATCACCGAAACAGTACGTTGCCTGGATGTCTCAATTCAAACACACGCCTTACTATCGGTCATTTAACTCATTGAACACGTCCTATCACTGAAGCAAAAAAATATTGTCTGAAAAAGGTTAAACCTATGTAGATAGCTTAAATCCTTATGCGGCAAAGAACAAAGATTTTCTTATAGCTCGTGTTCAGGTATAGAAAAAGTATTTACACCAGCTTACATGGTTTACCTTGATTTATCAACCAATCAAATTTATGGCCTTGCGATTCAGAAAAAGCACTTGGCCATATGAAATGGTTTACTGTCGAATACGTTTAAAGGTTCAGAGCAGGCGTTATTTAGGTTTGTGTAGTTCGTCGATGAGGTCCAGTTTTTCGACTTGCCGAAACACTACAACGTCACCTTGAATACGCAGCTGTCTGCTATCTTAAGAGGATCAAACTATGTGCTATGGACGAACAGATTCCTGCTGACCATCATAAGTGACTCTCTTAATCATAGCAGAAAGATTTGAATTGGATCCATTTTGAATGTTTACTTTGAAGAACAACATTCGCAAATGATAAACGTACTTCATTTACGGAGATGTAAGCATGTAATAGCTGGTGTGTTCCGGTAGAGCCTCTGCAAATGAAAGTAGAAAAATGTACAAGATAAAAAAGAGCCGTAGCGCTCTATTAAAAAAGTAAAGCCCTTGCATAACTCCAAAAAAAAAAAATCTTTTGACGCTACAATGTTCCCCTGATGTAAAATGTTAACATCTTCGCTAACGTAGTGATTTTAAATCAAACAGGTGTAGGTATATAGGTGATTACAATACTGCGGTTGATTCTCCTGAATATTCTTTGGTAAGTAGATATCATACGTAATTAGTAACGTTGAGGTCTAGTTATATTCATGATGACAGCTGCATTCTAGTACGCTCAATTACATGTCACAATAAATTAATTGTCGAAAATTTTGTAACAATGATAGTAGCGAAGTGTTCGAAAATTTGTTCAATCCTGTGAGAGCTTAACTGAATTTTGGGGCTTATGCAGGTACTTTTCCATGAAACATTTCTTGGTTCTTCTTTATGTAATACAGACTGAGTTATTCAGACTAATAGTGCTATATGTTTCATGCAGAAAAATATTTTACAAAGGGTTTTCGTGAAGGGCTGCTAACTCTGCCGTAGCTTAGTAAACTTTTCATAATTTTTTATGACAAAGAAAACGCAATTTATTTTTTAAATATTGTCATAGGTTGTACTATCAACATTTACAAAAAGAGATAGAAAACAAGTTTATTTACAGATCATCATCAAACTTCGGTTGGCGTCCAGAGAACTCTGTAATTTTCGAAATATTCTGCACATGTTGTTTACTGAATTTTAAAGTGTATTTTCTTGATGAAAAACAATACCAATATAGATTCATTATCACTGCGCTATGTTTGTTAAATGACTAATGGGGTAGCTGAAAAATTTGTTTATCGAACAAACCATTTGTTTTTATAACTAATCTGGCTATTTCAGCAAATATAAGCATTTGACATCGCGCATTTGTAATCAGCAACGAACTTCTGTTTAAGGCCCAATCGAAGGGATATTTTTTGGAAATATATAGATACACATTACGTCATGCGCTGGCGCTCCATTACTCTCCAGTAGTAGTAGCGTAATCTGTTGTTGTTGTTGCTGCTGCCATCGCTCCCGACTCGGCCGAAGCTGTCAATTAGTTACTATACGTAAGCACGCAGGCCAGTAATATCAATCGTGTTATATACTACTCAAGCCTTTCTCTACTCAGAACAGCAGGCAGTAGCGGTTGTCGCCTACCTGGTGCTTGTCCCTGCTGCTCCTAAAGGCTCCAGGTTCTGAACCACCCTTGCCTCCTTTTATAACGAAAAAAACCTACAATCAGCTGTTTGGGATACTGACAGCTAAGGGCCTGTTCGTGATTAAGCGAGTTTGACTACTCAGGTGAGATCTGTTTGTGTCGTAATAACTGCATAGAAAGACCAACCCCGTGATTTTGGCGGGCGTAATTTAAGAGCGCCTACCGTCCCAGGGGGCGCTTTAGACACGGCTGTTGCGCAATAACAGCGCGCTCGCCTTCCCGACGAGCGCATCGTTCGAATTTCCCGCCTCAGAATTCCGCAGTGACATCAAAGCCGGCTAGGAGCTCTGTCGCACGTGCTCACAATGTTTTTCGAATAATTTTTCATTGAAAATGAACGATTTCGCAAAAATTCGACTACTAGGTTCTTGGGCAGGGCTCGCGGATGCTTTCGCCCACAACCGATTCGCTAAATTCGCGTTTAGCTCGTGCTGCTCATGAGTTCGGTGAGCTCCAGGTACGAAAGTCCGCGCGACGAGCGCCAAATGTTTTGGTTGCGGGGCTGCACCCACTGGCTACTGCGATCGGTTGCTGCTGCTGCTGCTGCTGCTATTGGGATGGCTGTTCAGGAGCTCAATTGTCTAGCACAGGCAGTTGCTGTTGCTAGCATGGCTGCCACCGAGACCCAACGTTTTGGCCTAAACGTCGTGCTTCGGAAGTTCCCTGAGCCGCGACCGAGGACCTACCCAGTGTACGACAGGCTACAGCAAACCGTACGATACTCGCAGGTAAGTTTAACATGTAGAAAACACTGCACCCTTCACCCAATTCAACTGAAGAGATCGAGAGGCGAATCGACCCCTTGCTATATGGCCGTGCTACCGTGTGGTTGTACAGCAATAGGTATGGTATGAAGTTGGTTTCGATCGCCACGATGTACCGACACTCCGGAAAGCTTTCAGCTAGCCCCTAAGAGCCAGTAGGGTCTGGTTATGTATAATTAGCAATTGTTGGTCTGTGGGTAGCTCCCTGAAGAGGTTCGAACCTTTCACACCCACTCTTAGTGGTCGTCGTCATGCTGCTGCTAGCTTGAGGTTCGAGGTGAACAAAACTTAGGGAGAGAGGGGAATGTCATTCTTCCCTTGGAAGCAAGCATAGTCTTTTAGCCGTTTTAATTGGTGACACTGGCCACTCCTCTGATGTTCTACATCTACTTAGATATGATCCAAAACGACTATTTGACGCCCAACGACACTTTGCATGCCTCGTGGCAGCCCCTGAGTGGCCTCGACGGTTTCGACCCGTCGATTTCTGTGCTCCCTGTCGCCGCTGCAAATCACTATTTTGTTGTTACCCCAATGATGTGCCAGCTACTGATCATCATGAACGAGCAACATTTCAGACAATTATGTCTGTCTTAATGTGTGTGCTTATTTAGATAAGCCCCAGATTGTCTCTCGATCGTCAAGTCTTTTCGATGTAGTTTAAATCTTTGGAAGGATATCTTTCTCGAGTAATTTCCATTTAATATATGCATATACATATATCTATTTTTCTATATGCTGCCGTACACACATATATATTTTTGCGTCCATGGTACCGTTTCTCTGCCTGTGGAAGTATCTAAGCACGCCGCGGTGTGTAGGCTCCCGTGTTCCCGTGTTTCACTGTGTCTTGCTCCCACGTAACATCTAGCAGAACTATATCCTCTTAGCTGTAGCACTCGTGCAAGTATCATCATTATAGACGTAGTGATACTATTACTATAAGCTCTTGTGGTGTACAATAGTAGGTGACGAGTGATTGAATTTCTGTTTTAGTTGTTATAGCTGCGGCCGTCTCTTCTTGCCTTTTTTTGCAACTGCAACGACTGCTACTAGTGCTCACGCTGCAGGACTCGTCGCCAGCGATTGTGACTGGTGACGGTTGCGGTACTGCCGTCAAATAGTGGCTCGACATCCACCATCAGCGTATTCGCTAGCTCAACGCTGTGTCGCCGCTTCATGCCTGTGTGTGCCTTTGTATGTGAGAGTGCTCCATGTTATCCATCTACCGGGCGACGGTGATCTCTGCAAAGTCCGTAAGCAAAAAAGCTCGATATTGCCAGCTTGCCACTGCTTTTCAGCGGCGTGTAGCAACAGCGGTTGTGGAACTGCTGACGCAAATGGCAATATTAGTACAGGAGTGATACGAGTGTATCGTTGGTACAATGCGTATCAGTATCAGTCGAGCTAGCCAGCCAGCCAACCAGCCAGTCGGGCAACGTCGGTGTGCGAAAGGAATTGCCAGCAACAGAACAACGTACCCATTCAGGGAAAGAATTAATCGTGGGAACGGAGGGAACGTACGATTCTAAAGGGTTACGAGATAGTACTATGTTAATCTCAAACTGAACGCAAATCGACCTCGTGGCCCATCAGCCGTCATCTTCCGAAATAACACAACAACACAAAACCTAATGTTATCGCTTAGTGATCTTCGAAGGGTTAAAGGCACCCGACCAAACCCCAGAATGGTTTTAGGAACAAGGCATAGAGTAATACAATTTGGAACGTAATGTATTTTATTAGTTAACATCAAAGCTCGGAAAAGGCGTATGAAAGACGATTTACATTACCCATCGCCATCGCACGATGACCATTATCCAAGTAATGGTATTAAACAATAGTACTACCATAAAGCATACCAGAATGTGTATTTCGAAGCGGGCAGAAGGTTGGTAGTATTAGCCAGTGTGTGTTTAAACTTACTAGGTTTAAAATTACTAGATTTATAGAACTCCTATCAGTACCATTATTTTATTGTGAACGCAAGCCAAGCGCCAGAACATATTGATCCATTGATATATTTGTTTAATTAGAGTAAGGGCAGCAGTTTATCAATTAGCAAATGTGTTGATTGACTTTTGGCCAGCTGGACCTGTGGTTTTGCCAGGTAGAAAGTGAGAGAGAATGTATCTGAGCGAACAGCAACGGCTCTTCTAAGAATCGTCGTTGTAAAGCTGGAGGTTTAGCGTTATCATTGTCTTCAGATCGTTGCTATATATATATATATATATATCGACTTATGTCACGAACAATCGTGACGTAAGCGGCGGCCTTTGCGATTGTCGCCTTCACTGTTTCTGCTGCTGCCATTACAGGAGTGGATGCCCCTTTGCTGGCAGGTAACGGTACACAAGGGCTATCAGTATGCATAAGCTTTGTCTACGACTTACTACGGCCAGCACAACCACGACGACCTAAAACCTATCTATTTCTATATGTATGGGAATTAGATTTGACTATTTGTCTGTAGTCTTTCGTTTGCGCTTGCTTGTGTTACTCTTCCTCTATCTACCTATGATACGGCATGTACAGAACAGTTCCTAAATACACTAACAGGATTAGCGAATTGCTACTTTTATCCTCTCAACGCGAAAAAGGGAGAGACGAAAGAAACGTCATGCAATCGAATAGGTTTAGTTTACATTGGTCCTAGACAGGTTAAGTCAAGTCGGACCTGATCTGATCAGATCTTGTTGAGCGACGCAGGACCAAACGAGATAGGGTAATAACTCATTCACTTACTCATAGTGACCCCCCAAATTCTGCATTCTGACCAGATGAGCGCCGCAGTGAGATATAACTATTGTCTGCAATAATTTCTTGATGATGAAATACCGTATATACAGTAACAATGTGATGTGATACTGTGATACTTGCTAACGTATCCATTTGAACGTATTCTGGCTTTTTCGTTTTCGGAGCGATCTACATAGTTCGGTGCTGATTTGAGACGCATACACACACTTAAAATGGAGTACACCAGTATTCACCGGACATGCAGTGGCTTGTTCGTCAGTTTGAAAGAAGTGGAGCTGATAAATCGCGCGGCAGGTTGCTGCTCTACGACAGTTCAATAGAAAAACAGAAACTCAGTAAGCTCAGTATGTATATCATAAAGTCTGCTAAACTCGCTGTCCTATTGAGGTTGTTTGTTGCCCTTCCTTTTTTGACAAGTAGTACACTGACATGCATCGAGTAATAGTAGGGAGTTAGCGACGACATCCGTCTATGATACGCTTTGTGAAGTAGGCAGATCAGTTGAGGGAATTGAAGAATGATAGGAACGAAGAAAAGAAACATCCCATCAAGCTCAACCGATAATTGCAACGACGATATAAATTATAATGATGACGATGAACGAAACAATGAAAAGGTTTTGAGAGACTTGAAGACGCTTTGTGGGGGGAGAAGGCGCTTGTTCATATGCCTGGTGCAATAACAGCGCGAAGATGTTGTTATAAGAGTATCGTGCTTATTGTTATTGTTGTGAGCTGCGGCGCTGCCACGACAACAATCGGCAGTTGTCGCAAACTAACTAGCAATTGGATTAGTTGGTTGGCCCCCGGTGGCGATTGGTACCTTTCATCGTTGTCGCTGACGGCAGCGAAAGCCGACAACGGTTGTGCTCTAGCCGACGATTTCGTTATTCCTATAACCAGTTAGTCGTAAACGGTTTTTCTGTTCAACTACTGCTGCTACCGTTAACGGCTCGTTTGTCGTTTGTTATGCTTGTCCATATTATTGTTGTTGTTGTCGCCTTGTTTAGCTGCTTACTGTTGGACTAAGCAGTGGTGGACCGGACGGCCACTGGCTCCCATTGTTGTTGTCGTCTAGCTGTTAGGTAATCTTGGCAGCTACCGAATGTCGTATGGCCGCGGCCATATCGCCAGGAGCAGAGTACCGATGACCGTCGTGCCACTAACGCACACGGACACACTCACCGATTTATACACTACTAGTTTCACATGAATAGATTCAACGATAATAGCAGCAGCAGCAGCATCAACCATCAGCGGTAAACTCATCCTGACCATAATACCCGTAGAGGATGTTATCTGGCAGGCGCTGATACTCAACGGGTCAGTGGGTGGGATGGCTGGCCCACTGGGGTTACCACCGTCTGTGCTGCTATGGCTGTAGGAAAAAAGCAAAACTAGCGATCTGAATGGTAGGAAGTCGCCAACCGAGGGCAGGAGGCCTATACCAATTCTGGTGGCGTTAGAAGACCTCTGGGTAAGAGAGAGACCTTGTGTGCACGCTAGCTTAGGTTAGGTCTGCCGCCTAGTTACCTTAGAACGTGCAGTGGCGCCAATACCATAGCTAGCCTTGTCAGTGCTCTACAAGCTATTTAATACGTGTGCCAATACGACAAAGAAAGAATGACACACCACTACTGTCAGCAATGATGACTGGACAGTAAACCAAGGGGCTGTTATCTCGCTATTCTTATTGGTAGAAAAAAAAAGTTCGGTCATCAAAAACCGTCATCAGTGGCAGAAGCACAGCAGATGATGATTTTATGATGAGTATTCTGCTGCTAGTGCTGCTGGTGTAACTAGTGTGTCCATGCCGTAACGTGGCTGAAGCAACCGCGTTACTAACCATAGCGGCGTCAACCGCACCGCTGGCAGTCACAGAGGCAATAATCTATTGCTGTGGCAGCAGGCCGCCGCGCGCGATTAGGTGCAGGCCCTTACCGGACAGTGGTGCTCAGGCACGAGTCTCTGTGCCGATTAGTTTGTCTGATTGCTGTTGGCCGTTCAACGGCCGTTCACTATCGCTCCCTGCTGCACTTAGCCGGTTGCTTATTGTTGCTCTTGTTGCTGCTGAGGTGCTGAAGTTGCTTGTCATCTTCTTGCGTGACTGTGCGACTGTAACTAGTTGTACGTCTTTATGTGCAAACCGCAACAGCACAATTGACGTGAATGGTGCCGGCAGAATTAACGACAAAATTTTTAGCA